TCATCCCGCACCCTCCTTATTCGCTGTGTGACTTCTTCCTCTTCCCAAAGATGAAATTTCAGCTAAAGGGAATTAGATTTGAGACGATAGAAGAGATTCAGGCAGAATCGCAGATGGTGCTTGACAGGCTGGCAAAGAAAGATTTCCAGGGATGCTTCCAGGCTTGGCAGCGGCGCTGGGATCGTTGTGTTCACTCCCAGGGGAACTACTTCGAGGGTGATGGATGAATTTAATACCTGAGATAAGTGTACGGTTTTTTTTATATATACGCGCAGTCTGTAAACTTTCCGATCGCACCTCGTATAATGTAACATTGTTTGATGACGTCAATTTTTGATAGACGACAAATCACGAATTTTTATAGTATAAGAGAAGCTGTGTAACTGAAAACAACAATAATAAAAATATTGAAAGAATAAAATCAGGAAATATCTGTTGGTATTTATTAGTTTAAAAACTTATACCATTCGTCTATTTCTAAAAATATCAAAGATCAGTATATTTAAAGCGATAATATTGTCAGTAGCTACGTATGGTTATGAAACATGCAGGTCATACGTACATTAAGCTTAAAAGTGTTTGAAAACAGTGTTTACGAATACATTTGGACATTAAACAGATGAATAAACGAGTAATTTGAACCAAGCACTTCATCCAATATTTATACACCTCACTAGCATTGTTATGAAAGTACAGTCATAGATGCACATGTGGTCTGGTTGAGACATAAATGCATAAACAAATTTTGATTGGGAAATATCGATAGGCGGTGGATGGAACTGGCTCAGGACTGCGTCTAGTGGTGGGCTTTGGTATTAGAAGTTGGCTCCTCAACTATGTAGTTGTTTGCAGTAAGTTACTTAGTTATATTTTTAAAATGTAGAGAAATTTTTTGACGGAAACAACGAAACCACTACAGCCATGACAATTTACAACGGGACGGATCGAACACAAATCTCTAAGGCAAGAATCGGGTCTGAAAGCGCGAACCGTGAAGTTAGATGAACACAAAATGGTATTACAGAATTGAATGGTCCCTCATTCACGGCTGCGTATGTAAGATCTAGAGGCATCTGCCTCCAACATACCCCCACTACTTTGTTACAATAAATGATGTCCTCCGAGGCTGCAGAGTGCCAGCGCCTCAGTCTTCATCCGACGATCATCCATGTGAGTGAGATATACCGCGAAAAGTTCACGGTGTCGATCGTAAAAGGGTTTTGTGCTGAATTCCAAGATGTACAGATTGGAAATTACACTCGCCGGTATTCTACTGTTATCGTCAGGTAAGTTAGGAACATAAAACTAAGCAAAGTATTTGAAACTGAAAGACAAAAAGTAAAATAAGATTGAAGAAACCGCATTATGCATATTTCACAGTTGGTTAAAAGAATTTTAGTGCAATTGAAACGTACAGACTTAGCTCTTTAAAACCCAACGGTACCCCCACCTGCTTTAACCACCAACATCTCTTAATTTTGTATTCATGCGTTTCTTACTATTCTCACTGTAAACAACAGGGGGGGTATGATTTTTTCCTATCCTCTGCGTTCAGGCCGTCTTTGGGGACCAGAGTCCTTTCCCGGGGGTAAAGCACAGCCGGGGCGTGACGCTGACAACTCACCCCATCTAGTGCAGAAGTCAAGAATGAGTAGGAGCTATACTATCTCTCCCCCCAAGCGCCTACATGGCGTATAGTGGGTCAGCTTTAATTTTTACTTTTATTATCCCTGAAAATTTTCAACAGTAACTGAGATAGTGTTTGTTTGCTGCTACTTTATTTACAACTTATAAAGAGAGAGAATACAAAATGTTGTTTATTTAAAACAATCCGTATAAATTCTTTAAATCAAGTGACGAAGGACTGGTCGACCAGGGTTTCGATTCCCGAAATGAGTAGTAATTGTTTTCTTTGCCATCACTTCAAAGCAGGCTCTGGGAACCATCTATCCTATCCAGTGAGTACCGCGGACTTTCTACCAGACCATAAATCTTACCACTCAAATAAATATATATGGAGTTTTACCTTCACGCTCCCTATACGCCGTTATATCATGGTGTTTAAGCAAAGGACCATCTTTATATTTTCTACGTTTTGCCTGAAACCTTTTCACAAAGCCTTTAGAAACAATGCTGCATTCCTAAGAAAATAAAACCTCGTTGTTGTTGTTGTTGTTGCTGCTGCAGGGACTTTGATTTGTTTAAACAAAAATTGTAACACTCAGTTACTTTCTACAATAATCTAACTCAGTGGTATTCAACCTTGGGTACGCGAAGACATCTTATAGGGTACGTGAAATTTAAAAAAAAAATTAGTTTATGATAAACACTAAATAATCAGTAATGTAATTTATTTTAGATGTAGATTATATACTATGTATAACTTGCATTATACACCAACGACTTTGGGGGTACAAAGTTGAAGAGAAATTATATCTGGGGGTACGCGAACAAAAAAGGTTGAATACCACTGATCTAACTTACTTAATTTATCTAAATCATTATTACAAATATACTGCTGTATTCAGTAGCAATTTGTCTTTGTGTATCAAATGTCCTATGCAATTGTGTAATTTTTTATTTTTCTTTGTTGGCATTTTGTATTTATTATTGTCGTTCTCTCTTGTGCTGTATCGGCAATTGACCTTCTGCCTCTTGATACAGCACACTAATAATAAAGAATTTAATTGAATTATTAATCCAATGTGCATTCTTCGGCAGTTGAATAAAAATTACAATATTAAATTAAACTCAAAATTCCAAAAATATTATAATTTTTAGGCTGCTCTGTTTTGGTTATCCCTGTAGATAAATTGTTTCATGTGTCTTTAACGTAACTGCTACTTCCATTGTTGCTGCTTCATTAACAAATACGACTCCATCTTCTGTTCCCCTATCAAAGATGATTATTTCAGTGAGTGCCTTCTATTGAGAAATAGCTCTCTTTTGTGTCACTGTAAACTTCCATTCTCAGTGGCTGATATGGGGTTCTATTACCCAATAAGTTGACCCACAAAAAAGAGAAGTCATTTGTAATGGTCTTATAATAAAATGTATATGAAGAGCCAGGATCTAGGGGGCTCTGGAGAGTATGCATAATAGTCTTCAGTGGATTATGGGACAAGAAGGGAATTTAATGATTCTGTAATTATGAAAAAACAAGTGCAACTAACTTACTAACAAAATGATAAATTCTTCTAATTAACTGCCACACATTGAGTGGTCATTCAGCTGCAGGAAGCATGTGGGTCAATTTATAGTTGCTTCATGTTGAAGTTAGGGTCTTAGATGGGGTATTATATGTCATTAATAGAAAAAAAAAAACTTTGTTGTAACCCTTAATAATCTGATAATTGTAGTGGTCTCTGTAACAGCCTATGTAATTTACTGTGAGAAGTCAGTCACATTTTCAAGTTAAGTCTTTAAAGAAATGAACTTCCAAACCAGACACGTAATACCAGACTTTAACGAGACTCATTTAGGTAATCAACATTTTTTATAGCTACTGCTACTACTGCTTCAAACAACACATAAATTTCGTATCTGTGATTGAATTGAAATAGGTGTTTGAAAAGTAACTAAATCAAAATTACCGACTTCATTGTCTTCCCTGGAAAACTGATAATCTCAGATGTTATTAATTATTTTGTTAATAAAAAGGGGTAAAAACAACTTTTGGTAATTCAGATATAATCCCTGCTTTATCATCAATGTGGTTATTTAAAAAGGAAGAAATTTTTTTTAAAAGCTCAGCCATAACACATTACACCGAGCCATTCCAATCATAAATTTCACACCATTTCATTAAGATCCATTTTAGTATTACCCCCTATTCTAACTGCCCATCTTTGTAAAAACAAACAAAACACTCACGAACGAAGAAATTAACTGAATCCAAACAACTTTCCTGGTACAAAACTGCTGAATCAGAATCATGCAGTATGTGATTCAACACATGACAACACACCAGTATTGACTGTCCAGTTATTTAACTGTCAGACCTTACAAAAAATAACTAAATGCCTGTTGTATTAATTACAGGACTATGCTCTGCAAGAGAGCCTTATTTCAGAAGTGTTCCAACCACAGTGAAGACATCTGAGAATGATACCGTTTTACTACCTTGCTACGTAAACAATTTGGGTAGGTGTAATTATTATCTATAAGACTGTCTGTATATGTGTCAATACGCGTGTGTGAATATTACCACACATAAAGTCCTGAATTGATAAGAGTTATTCACAGTCCTTACATTTAACGCTAATTTCCTCAGGTTTTAAATTACCAACTATTGACTTACCCAGGTTATAATTCTGTGCGATGGTGGTGGGAGAATCAACTGGTGGCAGATTCAAGTAATCCCAGGCTTTTGTCACCACCACGAATCAAAATGCTGCCCAACAACACGTTGCAAGTGTCAGACCTCCAAACTGAGGATACCGGAGAGTACAAGTGTCAGATAGTTCGACCAGAACCTTGGGGTCCTATCCAACAGGTTCATGCAATTGAGGTTCTGTGTAAGTAGAAGAAAAGTTTCATTTAACCGTCATGTAAAAAAAAGTTATGTTGACTGATACACAACAAAAACAAATTTGCCTCACAAACTTTTGTGTAGATATCTCCCATCCCAAAATATCAAATTTTGCCAACATCCATGGAAATGTGTAGGAGATACAACATGGATGGTTGACACCCAATATCAAAAATATGGAATAGAAAATGAGTTCTATGAAATTAATTCAATAAGTGAGAAGACTTTTCACAAAATATTTCCTATAGTTTAAAAGCAATAAATATACATTCAGTAACATGAGAAAAAAGTGTGTGCGCATGCGTGCACGCACACACACATACAGTGAAAGGTAATAACTTGAAAAATTTACAGTCCAAGGGGGGGGGGGGACAAACACTGGGAAGAAAAGAAGAAAAATAAAAAGCACTGCCGCTCAACACTTACTGGTAGAAACTGATAGCTTAGCTTTGTTGTAGCAAAAATTCATTATGCATACTTAAAAAGGTGTATTCATTTTTTTAAATTCATTAATCCAACATGTGTAAAACTAATAGTTTCAGTACCCATCACCAAATTGCATGCTCCAAAGCCACAGAAGGACTTGGACACCCCCCCCCCCCCCCTGCACTCTGTTGGCTATGTCACCAGCACAGTGTTGTTAATTTTGCTATGCTGCAAGTTCTGAGCTGACTTGCCTAAGCTCTGCTTGTGTTGCAATGATGAATGATTTTACTGTGACCTTGAAGTATGTAATTTGGTGAATGGCTACTACAGTGTAAAATTTAACGAGTTGTTGTGGGTGATGGAATAGCATGCTTGCGAGAGTAGCAATTTCCATTCTCAGAGTGAATGCATGGGTTAAACAGGAATCATGAAATTTGTGTTGTATTTCAGATCCACCATCAGTAACTACCATCCCTGAAGATGGTCTTTTGGAGGTGCAACTAGGGGAAGAAGTGCTTATGGGCTGTAAAGCTTCAGGGGTACCACACCCCATTGTAACATGGTCTAATGAGGTAAAAATGATGGAAACAGGAATGACACTTCTGAGTCTCTTTTGCAATAGTCACTGATTTCTGGAATTGATCCCATGAACTTAACATATTCTCACAAAAAAATGATCAGGAAGAAAACGCAGTAGTATTTTCTGTTAGTGACGATCCATCAACCAAAACTGCCATCCTGTTCCAAAAACGTTTGGTAAAAGCTGTCCTATTTTGTTTCACTTAACACATATCTAATTTAGTACTTTCAAAATACATTAATTTGGACCACTAAATTTATATTTTAAAGGCTGAATATCTGTGCTCAATGGGCTATTCATTACAAAATAACTGTAAGCAATAACACCTATAATTTACAATTGGGAATGAATATTTCATACACAAATATAAAACAGAAGCCAATACAAAGTAATCTAAGCATATTTTAAATTTCTTCTAATAAAATGTTGTCTCCCCCAGGGTGATGAACGTAGACAAACGACATTCATGCTTTGCCCCTCTTTGAGGTAAATTTAAGAGAAGAGTATGTCGATTTATAGTATCTTAAACACTATTTTACTTATTATTAAAATATGTTCATGACTTTTCTTCAGTGCAATATAATATTTATAAATATAACTATACTTCACATACATAAATAAATTACATTAACTAGTTATCTAGCTAAACTAAATTAAACTAAACTAATTCTGTGGCAGTAGAATTCAAATATTAAACACTATTAATAAAGAAACCTGGTATGTAATGTCACCCTCAACTAATTCAATTTATATTGTGCCAACACAATATTTCACATCCATACAAAACAAAAGGCAAAATAAACTTTGATCAATTCCACCAGTAAAATAACTGCTTTCTAAAACAGAATTTTTTTGGTGGCAAAAATGCCCAAAGACTTAAAAGAGAAATATGAAAGAAAACAGCATTGGAGACATTGCTATACAAAGTTGTTTCTGTCTGCAGGGAGAAGAGATGCAACTTTTGGACAACCGGCCTATGCTGCGATTTCAGGCACATACCAGGCACTTGGCTGGACTGTACAAATGCATAGCTATGAATGGGGTTGGTAGCCCTGCAACAGCTACCATACACCTCAGAATATTCTGTTAGTAAAAGTTAAAAAACTGTGGGTTAATTATGTGAAGTTGATAGCAGTCATGCAAGACACTCTACAAACACACTAAAATATGTGAACATAACTAATATAAGAGGGAAACATATTTTCTAAATACGTTCTTTGTGAGAACTTCACTGACTTTCATGTTCACTTACCGCAGATACAAACACACAGCTCCAAAGCCAATCACACTACAGACATCACTGCTCAGTCATAAATTATTTTTATTCTATTTTATTCAAAATTCAGAATATTTAAAAATGCCATAGATTTTAATGAGATTTGTATTCCATTTTGGATACCAATTATCTGCATGGTTAGCCATTTATGAGTCAGTGATAAGACTGTGATATGAGCTTCATGCAATGTACTGTTACTATATTGAAATTGTTAAGTAAAACTGTCCTGCTATATGCCATGGAAGAGCTAGGGGAGACGGGGTATAGCTCCTACTTGTTTTTGACCTCAGCAGTAGGTGGGGAGAGTGGTCAGGATCACGTCCTAGCCCTTCTCTCTGGAACCCACTGCATACGAGGCTAGAAGAAAAATCCTTTGCCCTTGCCAGAGATTGAACCCTGGTCATCAAGTCTGTAGTTAGACACTACTGACTGAGCTACCCTGGTCCCCATACTGAAATAGTATGTACCATAAATAAAACAATAAAGAACTTTTTGTACAAATCCCCAGTCATAACTTTTATTCAAATCTGATAAGTAATTTCAAGGATCAAAAATGCACAGGAATAAAATATTCCTTTACATATAAAGTTATACACTCTGTGCAACGAATACATAAAAATATTTTATTATATTCTGTAAGAAATTTACAGCCATTCACATCATCAAATATTTCACTTTGTTATGGAATCTGAATGTTTACAACTCGACCATATTCTTAGCCAAGTGAGATTCGAGGTTCTTGCAGTGGTAAAGATGACATTGTTGATCTTCTGGGTTGTGATGACATATTCTGGACTTGTAAGTAGACGTTTCAAAGAAACATACTACTATCTCCATCCTTAGGGCCAAAGATCGCTTCTACCTACAAGCCCACATGGCATCAAGACAAAGAATAACAACACTGTCATATCCTCGGCCACTTTAATGAGGTTCACATATTCATAGCCTGCTTCTCCATTATCTATTTAACCCTTTTAATTATTAATTTTTTACCATAAAGAGCTGCCTTTATACATTATCACTGTAACTTAAAAAATTGAATTTAGGGGAAGCTAAAAATGCTGTTATTTCAAGAGATAGTAAGACATTCTCAGTCAGAATGTTCAAGTTTTAAAGTGACGTATCTCATTTGTAACATATATAGGTATTAGTATTATGTTTAAAAACTTCAACTCATGTATAAAAAATTCCTCTCTCAGACAACAGCTTGGTTAATATAATATTAATACCCTTTCAGTTCCTCCTGAGATAGAAGTGGAACGAGCATGGGTCCATGCTGCACCAGGTGTCAGATCAGAGTTATCGTGTAATGTCCTTGCTGATCCTGATGCTAAGGTTAGTGTCATGTCTCTTAACTAGTTGGTTTTTCTATTACACTGTCTTCATACCTGTCTTCTCTTCAGCTTTTCTGATTAAAATTTTACATACATTTATGATTTTCCCCATACATGCATAACCCTTCCATCTTCTCATTCTTGATTTAATCAGCTGAACTATATTAGGCGAAGAGTTCAGATAAAATTCCACATTAGTAATTTTCTCCACTGTACCGTTATTTCCTATTTCCCAAGCTCAAATACTTTCCTCACAACTTTTTTCTTAAACACCCTCAGTGTAAGAATAAGAAATTACATTTTATATCCACACAAAACCACAGGTAAAATTATAGTTTTATATACTTTAATCTTCATGTTTTTAGATAGGAGACAGAAAGAAAAAGAATTCTAAACTGAATGGTAGCAAACACTTCTCAGGTGAACCTATTTTAAATTTTGTTGCATCTACTACCGCTAATTAACTTCAAATCTCTTGACAACATATGATATAATAAAGCTTATATAGATATATTGATTATTTCAGGTGATGTGGCTGAAAAATGACATTCCAGTGATCACCAGTACACGTGTAGTAGAGCTGTCAACAAACAACAAACATACCCTTCTATTCCGCACCGTCCATCCATTAGACTTTGGGTACTTCAAATGTCGAGCCACAAATGCACTTGGTGCCAATGAACAAGTCATACAATTGTCAGGTAATTGGCTTAGTTTAATATACTTTCAAAAAACTGGAAGAAGTATTATCACCCTTTCAAGTCCCTCTTGGGAAGACAAAGTTTGAAATTACAGGTATCGGTGGAATTTGGAATCAGAAAACATAACTCCCATTAAAGTCTACAATTTCAAACATTATCAATATGGTTAAAACTTAAAAAAAATACAAATACACATATTTTTCTAACAAAGCTGCATGATATTGCTTTGGAACAAACAACTATATGTTCAAAACCTGAATCAGTTTATGGTTTCTTCATGCTTTAAATTTTACCCTCAATTGGAACATGCTTCATCCTCCTTGGATAAAATACCTTCCTGGGAATTTATTTTCAAATTCTTATTTAAATTACAGTAGATTCTGGTTAATTGGGTCATTGGTTAATCGGGGTAGCCGTTTATTTGGGACAAATCTTAAACAACAAACCTTTTTAACTCTTTACATGGAACTTCGCATAATTGGGGCAGCAGCTTAATTGGGCCAAAGTGTCCTAGTCCAGAGGTGTCCCAATTAACCAGAATCCACTTTATTCCCTCAAAGCATGGGGCTGAAGGAAAGTTTTCTTTTTAAGTATGAGTTTTTCTTGTGAGAGTGATATGACAAATAAACTAAACATTAGATAAAGACAGCCATCTTCAGACACACTGCCATGAAAACCTAAAATCCTACATCAGAATTAGATACAGGTCATACAGAAGACTTGTTTTCTTCACACACTGATATCATGAAACTAATATTTTATGATAAATGGCGATATTTATTTTTAATGTTAGAAAAACAGTATTTACAAGGATACCATATGAGCTGGCTGGACACTAATAAGAGAAATGCAATTTCAGGTGTTTCAAACACAGCAGTGTTTAAGAATGAGTCAGGTGTATCATCAGAAACAAACTACACTCTGGTATGGGAAGTTGACAGCTATTCGCCCATCATAGAGTACAATCTGCTGTTCCGGAGATATTTTGTAAGGCAACGATACATTGTAATAAATGCTGACATTAAATATCTGCATGAGACACTTTCAAAGCTGCAAATTCATGAACATTGTTATCATAGTTACTCTCAGTAAACTACTCTTCAATAAAGAGATTAATGCAGTACACAATTTACTATGTTATGAGATAATGAATAATATTTTAGTGTGTTGCCACATGAAAAAAGTTGATTAAAGCACTGATTTACCTGATGGTCATTTTGTTTTCTCTAATGTTACTGTGATTCTGTTCCTTGTAGCCACACACAAAAGGACACAACTGGGCAAAATTGGTCATTCCAGCAGACAGCTCTTCACCAGGACCTATCCACAGCAAATCCTACACTCTCACTGGGCTTTCCATTGCTACTATCTATGAGGCAGTAATTACTTCAAGAAATAGGTTTGGCTGGAGCAAGCCATCAGCGATACTGAGATTTGGTACTAAGGGAGCTGGTGGGTATAATTTCAGTGCATGAAAACTGGTGTACTCATTTTAGACCACTTTTCTTATCTGTAGACATTTCTGTAGTAACTCTGCAGAGTACCTATTAGGCTCACCCTGGCCCTCTGCCTATGCGTAAGACATCTCAAGAATGGTTGGAGAGATCTTAATAAAATTCAGAATGGGCAATGTGCCATTTGAGGCCAGTCCAACCTCATACTTTGCAGTTTCCTACAATTTGTAACATCACAAATGTTAAAAAGGCATGACATGGGAGTACAGTACTCTGTGATGATGACATCATGAGTCTGAATATGATGAGAACTGGTTTTTAGCATAACCTAGAAATAATGAATGATTCTTAAACAAATGATAATTCCTGAATAAATTAAAGAACCCATACTTTCACCTCTTATTTTACAGTCCCCTTGATTATTGACCACCAACTGTGGCAATTCAGAAAACTCACATAAACATATACTGCAGCAGACTAGAGGTCACTCACCAATTTGTCTGCTTCTTAATAAAATCTGTCAAGTTCTGTCTTTCAGAATTCTAAACGATGCATTGCAACAAGTATCAAAATCCTTTTACAGTTTCTTTGCATTACATTAACAAGTTTGTGAAATACAGGTCTAATATGTTCCTCCAGAGAAGAAACTTCAGACATAGAAATAAAGAATTGTATATAAACAAAGGCTATTTATTTATGTCAGTGCTTACTTTGGATCAAAATACTGTTTGAGTCTCACAGTGATTCCTATCTGTTACAGACTTTGGATACAATAAACATGTACTTCCAACAGGATCAAAGTCTGAAGATAACATTAACAGAGGTAAGGTTTAATGCAGATTAAAGATCTTTGTATAATTTCTATATTCTAATGTTTCAAACCCCATTTCAGTAAAACCCGGTTTATAATTTTGGGTATTAATCCCTTGTGACACCATAAATTATAAGCCTGAGGCTGTTCTCATTGTAACCTAATTACAGGTTTTTACTTTTAATTGTAGAATTAAACAATAAGCAGTTCACAAAGAAACAAACAAATGAACCATGGAAGTTACTGAGTTTTAATACTACAGCAAACAACTTATATGCATTTAATGTTGTTTTTATGCCACATAATTTTCTAAGTTTTGTAGAGAGGCATAGTTTGTACCTTATATTTTAAGCGGAGGGACTCAGGACTCCCTTCCCTTTAAGCTACACTGCCAATATTTCACATTACTGTCATTAAAATCATCAGGGCGGTGTCCTGGCACTCAGGAAAGCAACAGGTGTTACCCTCATCCATTCTGGCTTATAACTGTATACTTACTGGTTGTGCAGCTACAGGAAAAGAGAGAGATGAAAATGAAATTAATCCTAAGGAGATTAATTTTAAAAGTTCAACTGTAACTACATACGAAACAAAGAGAAACTTCTGAAAATGTAATGATGAATTTGCAGACATCAAAATGACAAGAAATTTCTTAATTAACTAAATAACTATCAAGAATAAATAATATCTGAGACTCACAATTTAGTAAAATCAGTATTTTCTATGACAACCATGATATTTAATATTATGTCATACATTTAATGACATTTATGGGCAGCCCTCAACAAATTTTATACATATCTAGGCCCCTAATTACTTGCAGGCAATAGTTATAAATAAACAACGCTTTCACACAAATTTGGCAAAATCTATATTTTAATCATTACTATTTACCAGAGTGTAATATGGAATAAAATGTAGCAAACTCAGATTTTTGATAAAGACTCAAGTAAACACCAGAGCAGTGTTCAGTCTATTTCTGAAGCAATTTATATATAATACTGTAAAAGTCTAATGGGAGACTCAATAATACATGTACAGATTTTCTTTGATAAAATATAACAATAAATCAGGCCAATCATAACATGCTAATACATTTTTCTGCCAACTGATAATACAGTTTGAACAGAATGGCTTCCAGTTTCAAAATACCTGTAACTATGATAACAGAACTGCAAGAAGGCCTATAAAACACAAATTTCAAAATACTTAAACACATATGCACAAAAAAGTTTAGAATACTGCTGAAAAACTAGATGCTAATATAAAGAATTTTGTGTCACAAAGACCTTCAACCTATTTGTTGGTTTTTCATTAACCACCACTAGACTTTGATTCATTTACATATGAGAAAATTTTATTTTTCAGCTGAGTTAGCTGCCATCCTGCGACAGCCAAACTTGGGAACACCTACACAGTCTTCATTTATTTTTACAATGTTATTCTTGATCATACTACTTCATGTATAAAGATTGTATTCTATTGTACTCATGACTGGTTATCAAATAACAAGGAAATATTAAATGGCTTCTTTATACAAGAGTGAGTCAAAAATTATCTGCACTCTGGCTGTAGAATTTATTTTAATCAACTTTTAGAAAAGACAAACACATCATTTTTCGACACAATCTCCTTGCTTTTCAATACACTTTGTCCATCTGTCAACTAGCTTTTGTATTCCCTTATCAAAAAAATGTTTTAGGCTGAGCTGCAAGCCACGAATGCACCGCTGTCTTCAATTCTTCATCAGAGGTGAATCTTCGTTCTCAAAGGGCTGTTTTCAGGGGACCATTCATGGCCGACACTTGTGCGACTTTCCTTGAATTTCTCTATACATTCATACACACTTCTTCGCGACAAAACACTTTCTCCATACTGTGCACAAAGTCTTCGATAAATATCGGCACCAGGCACACCCTCAGACCACAATAAACGCATCACTGCACCCTGCTCTTCTTTCGTGCAAATCACAAGTGGGGCATCCAATTTTTCTCGCACCGTAGTTACAAATGAACTGACGTAACACGTTCACACCTGCACAGCAGAGACCTTGAACAGAAAGTGCTGATGAGACAGAAGTTTTAATATAACCGGAGTGCGGATAATTCTTGACTCACCCTCGTATATGGCTAGCTAATTTCATTTAATGTCACTGGAATTTTTCGCTGTCAATGCTGTGGGATCTTGTAATTAGATACACAGATGTCTGAAGTAAATCCGGAAGGGCAAACTCTGACTTGCAACATTATAAAACATTATACATAAAAATATGATCTTTCTTCCACCAGTTACAGACGCATTTCTGATATCTATGGCATAATTGTTTGCCTGAGCATCACAGTTAAGTCCTGACAATAAATGATCTGAAGCTTTCACAGTGAATAAGCATAATAATTCTTCTTGGGTTACAAGCCATGTCAGGTGGTTCAAAGGGGAAAACACCGACGTTTTGGGAAATTAAAAGCAGTCGAGATGAAATTTCTGATTTTCATGAAGTCTGGTAAATGTTTCCAAACTTGTGAAGGAAGACACACTGGGGGAAACAAGCCTTCATTTCCTTACATGATAAAAAAGTACGCTAATCTAAATAAAATAAAGAAAGTTGGGAATACAGAATGGTGTAAGGCAAACAGATTGTGACCATGACGATGGAAGCGATACCTTCTTCCAAAATGTTAGAAACAATCCATAAGACCATAATGGATATCTTCACAGCCATAACCTCTAATTTCAGATGATCCTTTTTGTTATTGATATCGATACTTCATAACTGTTGTAATAGTCTTCAATTTCCCTTAATGGACTAATTATGGACTTGCTTATAATTAGAGATTACTCACGTCAAGAAGTACATTCAAACTGCTCTTCCATTTTCATACACAATGTATACAACGCACTTAATAGAAAATAGCTTACACTACTGCCAACAGGGGTAATCCCTCATTCATCAAAGGTTTCTTTACATTACCGGCGATTTTTGCAAAACAAAAAAAGTTGTTTTCGGAAACGCAAAAACTGCGATTGTAAACTCAAAATTGTTTCACCAAATGCAGATAATGTACCGATTCACAGACCACAAATTCAAAACACTATTTCAAAGTTTAATATTTACTTGCTTATAAGCACCAGACAACGAAACTACGGTTTCCAGCTTCTTCAGCAATCCATCGGGATCTCGTAACGCACCAAACTATTGGCGTCTGGTTCAATATGAATTCAAATTTAAATCAGAGAAGTAGTGATCTCCATTCCCTTATTTTATCAGTCGCCTTCTTCTGCAGTTTCTCTGACGATGCTGTAGAACGTCAGAAAACAACAGAGAATCGTAAAATGAGTAGAGAATTAACCTGTCTGATGGAAGTAAATTGTTATCATAGCCCTTATAAGTCGCATAAAAAAGTGGTGGTTTAATTTTTATTAGTTCTGTGTTCTTACGTTTGAAAAACTTATTTCCAAGTAATCCGAGGACGATGAAATATAAAATATCAAAATTAATTTTTGCTGAGCTAGAAATTTACTTTGATTACAAAATTTACACATTTCGTTTACGATTAGGTGTTAACTAGAATCAGAAGTATTTTTAACTGTCAAAAAGATACTTGTATTTCCTCATATAACGGGAAGGTCTCAGTCTCTTGCACACACGGTCTTTGCCTGTCGTCTGCCTCAATCGGTCTCTGCCGGACACGGACTTTCCAAAGACCGAGACCGAGTCCGGCAGAGAAGATTCTAGTAGGAAACTGGTGGGGAGAATTTTGAAAAAATTCAGAAAACCGAAAAATGCTGGAAATTGCCTAAAATGCGCACAAAATTAATAAAAATTGAAAATTTCAACTTCAAATTTTTTTTAAAAATATTTCGAAAATTTTTGGTTTTGTGGGATTTTTAGACAATTTCCAGCATTTTTTGATTTTTCGAAAATTTTGAATTTTTATTCTTCAAAATTCTCCCCACCAGTTTCCCGCCGGAACCTCTCTCTGCCGGACCCGGTTTCTGTGGTGACGGGCGAGGTCTCTGCCGGACTCGGTCTCTACATGATCTGGACTCTATGAATCCGTCTGGAAAGCTGGTTGCAGTGGGTGCATGGTCTGAGGCATGGGTTTTGTGCACTTGGACAATGAGACCGTAGGTTCAAATCCTACTCAAGGCATGGATCTTTGTCTACGTCTTTCTGTGTTGTGTTGTCCCATGTAAAGATATAGACCTCGTGAGGGGCTGATCACTCATCAAAGGAGTCATACCAAATGCCTAATAGATCAAGAAACCTCCAAAAGAGGCAGCCAAGAACCAAATGTGTTGCAGAGATACAGGGAAAAGAAAGATATACCCACTATATGTTTCAGCAATATGAAATCTTCAGGTGCTCGCATGCATTTAATGTCACCAAAGTAAATTTACCAAATGACCAAAACTCTGCAACACGAATTCAAAGTAACTGATAACCAAAAAAATCTTGTTTGAAGCAATTAATTTATAGCAAATCTGAACTAAAAGAAGCAAGTTTAAAAGCATCAAGCCAACGACACAATGTAGGAGGGCTTCTAAACACAAACTACTTACCTAATTAGATTAACGTATTTCTAGTAAATTAATTATATCCAGTGTATGTTTACTCACCTTGAGGATTGCTATGCCAGTAATTAAAAAACACAAACAGCATCCTTTCATATCTTCACTCTTCATCAGCATATAACAAACAATCATCATTGATGGACGATAGATTACCAATTCACAGATCAAAAATTAATGGCGAATCCCACTCCTGCCATCTAATCACAATCTCGAAATAACACAAAGATGAGAGGTGCCGGTAGCTGAACCTGCTCTGTCATAACATCAGGGGGAAACTAATGCATCATGGATGTATTTCAGTCATATAATTGTGTAAAGCATGCATTTCTCAGCTGCTTATATTGTTTTGTTCTACACGTTTGTAAATGCATTTCGGAGGTGGGTGGGAATTCTTTTCGGTTTCGATTTTTGCATAAAACATTACACCTTAAGATATGAACTGCCAGCGAGGAAATGTTAAATGGTCCCTGCCCCAGAACGATAGGACAGATTTAAAAATAAAAGACGGACAGGAAACGTTTTAAAATTACGCAGGTTAATAAAATTGAAATTGTGAATGTATCTGTAAAATGTAAGGCTATATTAGAATCGAAGATCAAATACAAGAATGCAACTAAGAAATGTACCAAATGTAGCCTAAAAAATGCTGAAATGCGGAACGTTTGCAAAAGCTGTTGGAACGTAGAGGAAATTGTTAAGTAAAACTGCTCTGACCAAGGAAAGTTGAACAAGGAATTACAGTTCATCAAGGATATATCAGAAAGAAAGAGAGGGGCTCTTTCTTCGTTATACATCTCAAAACAGAAAGAAGAGTGGTTAGTTTTTTGTGCAAATTATAGAAGTACGAAGCATGACTAACTATATTTGTTTCTTCCACCATTACTATCGAGGATGCGTATGAGAATTCGTTTACTTCACCTTCCATGCCCTACAGTGTTCTGTAGGTTCTTTAATCGTTTGCAGTTTTAATGTAACAAACAACATTAAAAATGCCTCAGAAGTTCTTTGCTTAGTGTAAACCCTATTTCCCATGTAACAGAAATTGTGATAAAGCAGATTAAAATGAAGAGTTGCCTGGCCCTCCAGTACGATAGAATTCATGCATTGGGTGTCTCATACGAAAATGAAGCTCTGCCCCCTTTAGAATTTCCAAACACATGACAATTTATGCTAAATATGGGCTAACTTGTTCTGGAATAATGATACGAAATATGGGCAAAATAGAAACCTGTACAATATTTAGTAACAAGTTTTCAGACTGGTATGCATGTTTGAACCATTTATCTTGGGTCCGAAATCATATTCCGATTGAATGACAGGTTAGGAAGTGACTTTTGTGATCAGGAAGGCAGGAAAAGCCTTAACACATTTCTTGGCTTCACACTTGTTGGTGTTGATAACAGAATGCATGAAATATATTCACATAAACACTGAAAGGGTCCAGATTCCATGTACTGATTAAGTTTCATTCCTTTAATGTTGCATGAATGACCCTAATGCTCCTCTTAAAGTTCATGTCATCATGAGTTTCAAATATCCATAGCTGCATAACCTTTAAGAATGAGACCATGTTCATATGACATTTGACTGGGAATGATGACAGAAATTAGATCCTGAAGCATTGGCATGATGCTGCCAGGTTTTAAATTCTTGCTAGAGTTGCATGGCACATATAAAAAGTGTGAACTGTGACTGCTTATACACACTACAACAAAAATAAAGCACTTACAATTTTCAGAGTCTGAAATAAATTAGTAATACCTTTATACAGCCTACCAAATTCCTAATGCAACCGTAAAGATGGAGGCAGCATGCTGCTCTGAAACATTGTAAGTGGCATAAGATTGCTCAGTGTGACAACATGAAACCATAAAATGAAAATGTAGTGGCTTTAAAATATTCTTTATGTAGAACATTGTGAAACTAGTTTTAAGGATGTTAAAATTAATCAGAATATAACTTTATTAAGCGTGGACACTGCTAACTGCCCTAAAAGTGCTGAAACATGTACGTAGTCAGCAATGTTAACATTTTAATAATTTTGTCTCAACATTTGATACCAAGAAGAAATTTCTGCTAGCATTCCTAAGATATGATGGTGGTAAAAAATGGCATGTGATGATATGCATAAATATTAAAAGGTTTTGTTGTACTCAAAACATGTGCATCACAAATAGTCGAATAATATCATACTTTAAGGATCCAGTGCAAAAGAATGTGATTTCTTTTTAACAGACTATTGAAACACTACAAAAACATGTTTAAAAATTCAAATTCTTACTTAAACCTCAATGAGGCATTCATTTTCACATAACAATGAAACTAATTATTAAAGTCATGCTATTCTTCCTCCCATACATTGAGTGATATTTTTACGCATGAAGAAACAATTTCAGTCAAACCTGGGGCCACCACATTTTTTCATTGGATCCTTCAACTGCAAGAGATGAACAGCTGAACACTTGAAGGGGACTACAGTGACAACATAAAACTTTTCTGAGATGGTTCTGGCAATGAATTAAAGAAACCCAGACGCACTGAAAAGTCCTTACGGCAACATTCCAATATACAGATAGACACAAACAGGATTCTGTTGTCTTACAAGAGGAGTGGGAAAATCCATCATTGCCGTCACATATGGCAGATAATGGTTTATGAATTTTTTGTGCTCAATTCAAGATTGTTCTTCACTCACAAAAATTCAGATTAGTATTCATACATTAATATTTTTTGAAAATGTGCATCAAGGTGCTTCAGTTGTAAAGTGAATTAGAAAAAACAATAATTTAATTGACTGGGACATGGGAATAAGAATAGGTAATTTAGACACCAATCACAAGAAACAAACAGGAAACAGAAGGGAGAAATGTTCGTTAAGGTGACATAATTTTAAGCAGTAGAGAGAGAAAAGGTAGCGGCATGATAAATAGTAAAAGACAAGATACATCATTAAGCTAGCAAGACAGAAGGTAACAAATGCTTATGAAACAATAAATTGAAGGATAACAATCCCTTGATGGTTAAAGGGAATACAATTAATGGGACACAGGTAAGAATTGAGAAAATAAATGCTACTAAAATCATAATCATTCTGATTGTGGAAAACAGAAGTTAACAGAAATTCAAGATTATCAGAAGATACACTATGTTGTATCTTGTGAAGTGTAAATATCATCATTTCTAGGAGATGATATATTAGAGAGAAAAAAATATATTGTAGATCTCAACAGTCCAGTTCAGAGATGTGGCTGCACAAAGTAATGTTAATGTAAGTAAATGTAAAGATGTCCTCATGCTTAATTAACCTTCATCAAGGCTTACGTTCTGCCTGACTGGCCATGTATTGCACTAAACCACAGCTAAATCATAAATTCCAAAGTTAAAGACTGTCCAGCAGCCCTATTAATTAGGGTTTAAACCCCTCTTCCAGAACTACGTATAACAGGTTAATCACCACATGACAATGTATGGGGGATGGAGGTACAGCACCACACAATCCTAAATTTGGAACTAGGTAGATGAGTGATCAGCTTTATGCTCTGGCCAGTTGGGAAAGACCATAAGATACTGATCCATTCTATAGGAGGCTAAAAGAAGTCCAGAATCAGCCTGGATGTGACGACAAACAGAAAATTCCCTGCCTTTGCCAGGAATCAATCCTTGGTCTTTATAATAGTATGAAAGTCAGTCTTTTAGCACAACTGTAAACTAATCTAGGAATTCTGTAAATATTGTTAAAGGATTTGGTTCTTATTTCATTTTTAAAAACTCACAGGGTCCGGTGGAGGGCTTTGGTTAACTCGGTGATGAACCTTCGGGTTCGGTAAGCCATCTAGTTAGTTAGTTAGTCTGTGAGTCAATGCCACATTATAAGCTAGGTGTTTAAATTTTAGGCAAGATGAAACTGCATGTCACTCCCGTTGGTTCAGTCAATTCTGAAGGGCAATTTCAGCACACGGAATCATTACTACCACCCAAGACTTCGAGATATTACCACACTACGTACTGTGCTCTATTCAAATATGTGGAAATGGTGTGGATCAACAAAATCAAAAAACAGCACAAAGAACACAATATCAGTAAATGTATATATTAGAAATAACAAAGAGGATACAAAACAGACAATAAAAAAATAAACACAAGAGCGATGTCCGCTGTATAGAACAACAGAGCCACAGCTTCGTAAAGGAATATAACTTACCACAGCGGACGTCCCCACCGGTGGACCACCTACACAGGGCTAACACCCCAAAGCCAAACCAAATTTAGATGGAAAAAGCTGAACTAGAATTTCTAAGATGTATGTGGGGCGAAAGCCTGCACAGAAGTGGTCTTCAAAGTTACAGGGTAACACAGTCCCAAAGAGTGGATGGGAAAGGTAGAGGGCTGGGGGCAAGGACAAATGTGCATGGCCATTAGGTCCCATTCACAAAGATAGTAGGTAGATAGTCGCTTCATTAGCCGTAACCTTTTGGTTATGGCTACCCATGGCACTCATGCTGCAACCAGGATGATGGAAACACGAGTGATCAGGCATGGTTCCTCCTAGAACAGTTCTCAGAGACCAGGTCCCAACAAAGGAAGCATGCTGGGGAAGGATCTGGGTGGTAATGCCCCACTGTAGTGTTGGTATCATACACCTATTCACATTGTAGCTTCCTGGTTATATCACAAAATGCACTGACCTAAAACAAAGTGTTCTGTGTCAGCAAAATTTATCTGAATAAAGAAGTGGTCATATTCCTTTCTTGCTCTAAATCTCCTGTTTGGAGTACTCTAGTTATTCCCCAATGAACATTTGGTTACTACTTCAAGTCAGTCTCACATTTGGAAGGTATTTGATTCAAGCCATGTTTGGAGATTGCTTTTATCACTTAAATTTTGTTCCTATTTCCAGAAGAATTCCAGTATATTACCAAATTTAAAATAGGCAACAGCAACTACCATGTATCTTTCTATGCAAAATGTAAAAATCAGGCTGCCACATCTTATTTGGCACTACATAAGCACTGCCTACACTTGAAGATTCATAAAACAGACCTATGTCCACTTCTGATTTGTTTCCTGTCTATCCATGCACTGTCCAGACAAGACATTTCATGATTTCCTAGGCTGTCTGTCGTTACAGACTTTCTGTTAGTGGTTGTGAGGTTGTAGGTTATTACATTTGGTCTTAACATTTCAGCTGTAACTTTGCTTCTAGGTGAACAGTGAACTAATATGCACAAATGGAAACTGGTTCATCAATCTCAGAAAAACAAAAGATTTAGGGTGTACATTTACTGTATATATGTACATACATATTTGGGATGTGATAGGTTAAGTTGCTCCACATGCGACCATACAGCCCCAGGAAGCATTTAATTATTCACATTATACACAATTAAATAACTATTTCAATTGACAATGCAAACCTATTGTTAATAATAAGAAATGTAAGAAGGTCCTGCTCCTAGGCAGTAGTCATTGTGACTACGTGAACGTCTTCACTCAGTCCTAAGGGATGAATATATGGTTACAAATATATTCAAACCCAATGTTACACTTGGCAATGTTGCTGGGGAACTAGAAACACGAAGCAAAGATTTCACTAAGGATGATCATGTAATTATAGTGGGAGGACCAGGAAATAGCCTTGACAGGGACCTAAATTACAAGATTGAAAATGATATGGACAACATTGCTAGGAACAGCTTACACACTAATGTTGGTTTTGTTGGCCTTCTCGAGTGTCATGACAGGCCTCATATGAGCAAGTGGATGAAGAGTGCAAATGTGAGACTCGAGTCTGTGCTTTGGTATGCGGACAGATCACACATTGGATTAATTGATGTATCATCTCTGAATAGGTAAGACCACACCAGACATGGATTGCACCTTAATTCAAGGAGTAAAGAGAAGTTTATGCAACTCACTGCCAGTGAGATTAGGTGCAAATCAAATACTGGTAAGATTCCTGTAATCACTGGTGTAAGATCTAGGCCTTTATTAGGTTAAAGCCCAAATTTATCACTAAATACCTGAAAGATATCCAAGTCACTGTAGATAAGCCAGTTCCAAATTTAGATCAATCAAAATAAAAATTTAGTGGTGTATCATAAGAACATTGGAGGACTTTCAAACAAAATTGATGAATTATCATTGTACATAAATAATACATATTCACCCCACATTCTATGTTTGACTGAATGTCTGTCATTTCATCTCATTTGTCTGAATATATATTTCACATCTTAAAACGTTGCTGACACATAATGAAGTATGAATTATACAGTAACACAAATAAAAGTAAAGCTGTCCAACTATAAGCCATGTAAGCGCTGGAGGGTATAGCTCCTACTCATTCTTGACCTCTGCATGAGATGGGGTGAGTGGTCAGGATCATGCCCTGGCTGCGCTTTACCCTGGGAAAGGACCCCTGTGCCCATTGGATAGTAGAGTGGGTGGGCCCCAGAGCTGACACACTGCTTTGCAAAACTTTCCTAAACATGAATTTAAATAAAGTACAATACAAGTGCATCACAAACTTTACATTTTCCTACAAATAAAGCTATTGGGCCAGTTGTTACTTCGCTTCCATTTATGGATAAAACAAATAAGAGAAAAAAACGCAATAATTTAAGATTTGAGACTTTCCCGGCGAGTACAATCAATAAAATATGAGTAACATGTATTTGTATGCATGAAAATGTTAATTATCAGCTGTGTGCAAGACAGATTACCCCAAATTCTTCCAAACACCTTTCCCCACTCTAAAAAATGGCGATCTGATCCAACTGACCAATCAGTATAATAGTAGCTGCGTGTACAGAGCATTGGCACCAGCCGCGATTTGTCGCTCTCTGTTAACGAGTGTAAACATAACGTAATGGAAATATAAACCGATAGTAAAGCAATAACATAAAATAATTTACTTGGTTTCATAGTTCTTCACGGTCCTTAAAAGAAAACTGGATAGAAATTCATATTCTGCGCATTTACTTTTAATTAATCAGGTTAGTGGGTTTATATTTTCAATACGCTGGGTTGGTTAACCACTTTGGGCTTAAAACATCGTGTGGCATTGACAATGTGTTCAGCACACTTGGTCTTTAACATAACACCGTTACATAACATAGAAAACACCCCTGATTGTTCTCATCACAGTTTGTATTACGGGGATGAGAAATTCGCGAACTGTATGCACACATATTTTGAAACAGTGGACACATATAGTACATTCTATGATGAGAAAAACATCGCCTACTTGCTTTCTCCCCCAAATGCTTCTTGACCCTAATTTCAGGAAATAAATTAAAAAACAAATAAGTTATACATGCGTAAGTACGGTAATATTTAGGAATTGCTAAGTCTGCATGAAATATAATGCATGTGGTAAAAGAGTTCATGCAGTGTTAGACCTGAAATTCAAAGCAAGTGAATGCTTGTTAATATTCCTGCAGTGCTGGGCCGAATTCAATATATATGTGCACACCTTAGAAGAAAATTATTTTTGCATAGATGGCTGTCTGCAAACCTTGGTTTTAATACTGGGTAAACTCTCTCCTCTACATCAAACATATGTGAATTCAAGTTCAAGTAAAATTTCTAACTAAACTATCTCCATGGAGCAGTCCTTCTTAAGCTGTAAGTACACTCAGCTGGTCAAAAAATTCCCTGCATTTCATTGAACCTACAGGTTCACAACAGCATGTTGTAAGTCCCTCTCCTGAGTTCAAACCCCCCACACTATTTCTCTAAGATCCGTTTTAATATTATCCCATCTATACAACAGTAATCGGAAAACTTTGAGATGTATTGAAAATATGATAATTACTTTATGACTGTGTATTTGCTGTTGAAGTTATGCAGTGTCAAATGTAATACAGTAAAAAGGTTGTGACTGACAAATCAGATGGCATGTAGTAGGAAGAATTGACAATAATAATATAATTCAGTCAGGACAGCGAGACCATAATGAGGATTTCAACCAGATGTTACTCTGTGCCAAGCTATTCACTGCATGTACAAGTAAAATGTCTACAATGTAAATCACAGTACATTTGCAAAGCTACTACACAGTCTGCAAATGCAAAGGACACACAATTTGATGAATGTAAATTTCCTGCAACTAGAATGAGGTGTCTAAAACAAGAAACATTTATCCAGGTTTTGCTGTAGGGTTACAAAGGCCATAGCAAATGGTAGGATCATGACAAATTATGAAATGCTCTATGCTTTAAAGAACTACAATAAATTACTTCTGGTAAACTAAATCAACAACACACCTTTGTTTGGACCATAAGATCTGTCACTGACAACTTACATACACAAAAAAGTACAAAACTGAACACAATGTTACAGTGATTTGAAGAACTACTTCCAGTTAACTACTGGGTGAATTCTGCAAGGTGATCCAAATACTTTAAGCCATTAGCTTACGCATGTCAAGTCACTATATGCAGACAGAAAATCAGTGTTGAATATGTACATATGCGAGATAAGATTCTTTCTTATAACAACAAAATCCATTAACAGATTGCATGATGAGTTTTATACTGTTACAAAAAATAGAGTATAAGCTTACTGCTGAGTAAGTAAAGTTAATTCTTTGATCATTACAGTTTTATAGAAGAAAGTGAGACATGTAGTTAAAATGTTTTTAAACAAATCCACACAGAAATAAACAGGACAATCACAAGTCAGTGGATAATGATTGTACATGACACCTAATCAAAACAGTATTCTTGACCTCTGGAAGTCACAGGTGCTTGTCATACATAAATTCTACATATTATTTATCCCTTTTCATTTAATCACTATGATGAGGTTTAAAATACAACACCAAATGTGACTTCATGATATTCCGTTTGGTAACAAGAACAAATTTACCTTTTCTAACAAGACTTCAACCTTTCTGGATTGAACTGTAATGGAAACTTCATCCAATAACAAGGTCTGGAATGTGTGGACCTTTACCTCACCTCTGCATATCATCATCATACAGGGCTTACAAATGGACAATTTTACCTTTACTAACCAAAATCTAAATTTTCTGAATTGGTTTATGACACAGACATTCAAAAAAAAAAAAATATAAATATAAAAATAACCTATCAGATAGAATATAGAGTAAGCAAACCAACAACTATTAACACTATAATAAGACACTGTTGCCATATGCGTTTCGACCTCAAGAGGTCATCATCAGTGGCATTGGGGAAATTAATACATTTAATCAAATGGTTCAAACTGGATTCCGAATTAAAAATGAAAAGGTATTTGACAAAATTTTTTGAAGTGATACTGCACTAGATGCTGTTATTCACAGGAGTAAAACTTGCACTTAGCTAAGTGCAAGTTTTACTCCTGTGAATAACTCCGGGTATTGGTTGGGAAGCTTGAGGGGAAGAGACCGCTGGGGAGACCTAGACGTAGATGGGAGGATAATGTCAGGCGGGATCTATGGGAGATAGGAGATGAAGGAGACTGGATTTTGTTGGCCCAGAACAGGGTCCGATGGAGGCTTTGGTTAATTCAGTGATGAACCTTCGGGTTCGGTAAGCCATCTAGTTAGTTAGTTATTGTTTTTATATATGTACACGTTTCATTTGTTTTAGTATCTACAGCTGGCTATTTGAAATAACTGATCCAGATAAATGTTTCTTATTTATGCATATATTTTACACCTTAAATTAACACTCGCAGTGTTTCAAACACGTATTGTACATGTAAGTGAAATAGTGGAAACTTCTAAATTATAAAAAGTTTTTGTTCACATGACATATCCGACGACAGCCAACTTCATACTTGTCTCCATGAGGACCTGAAATCTCACTTGTTAACTCTCTGTCTGCTTGTTAAATCAAACTTTAACCAAACTATGAATATTTTCTTATCATTAAAAACTTGTGGTAATTCAACATAGCTTACACATGAAAACATTTGGGTGGTGGTGGTATAATGGATGACACAAAGACAACAAAAATATTTACAGTATGCGACTGTAATCTTGAGACTTGCAAAGAATGCAAGAAGTCTGAAGCATTAAAGGCAGACTCTATCTTTCCTCTTTCCTTCTTCACCCCACTTCCTCACCCCGCAAGTCACCAGATTACAGTCGCAGACTTATACCTCTTAATATCTAAAGAGTGAAGAGATGCAATAAGACCAAAACTAAAGTTGTTGGAAATAGTATCAGCTTCTCAATTCTATTGATATTTTATGAGAATTTTAAAGGAAAAAGTCATTCTAACAATTTTGTTAAAAAAATTAGAAATCTTAGTAGAAGATTGGATTCATTGATGAAGGATCCCCTGATACTTGCTTTTGACAATATTAAAATTTGGAGATTACATTTTTAATTTTGTTGTGGTGATACCCCACTAGAAATATAAGGCATGAGTCACCACTAATCAAAACCCAGTTTACATCCCATTCATAATCTGAAACTTAGAATGAACATTGAAATCAAGATCATTCTTACATTTGAGGAAGATGACTAATATGGGCACCATATCACTAACCAGAAGAAACAACAAAAGTTAATGTGCTCTTCCTTTTTGGGCTGAACCTGAATAGCAACCTTTAAAGCTTTTGGGAACAAACCCCATTCTGCTGTCCCAAGCTTGGTCTCTTCCTCCACACCCTCCCATCCTACATGTACAAGTAAATTCCAAGCAATGATAGTATGGTGCTCTCAGACATTAATAACATTTCTCTTCTAATTTTCCACAGAGGTGTCAGAAATGTGAACATTAAATATATACAGGGCTAGTCTAAATGATGTTCCCGATTTGAAAGACATGCTACTCACGTTTAATGAAATTCAGATGCACAAAATTGGTACCGATGGAAAGAGAAACTCTCCAAGTTTTATTTCAGTACATCACAGGAGTTCAATGTGAGCCCCCTTGGTAACTTGGCACACATCCAGCCTGTAGTTGAGTTCCTCCCAGACATGTTGAAGCATATCATGATCGATTGCTGCAATGGCTACAGCTCCTTTTCTTAAATTCAGAATACCACTTCCGAATTGTATGCCCACTGGGTGGATCTGCTGTAAACTTGGTTCAGAAATGCCGCTGCACACTAATAACAGACCGGTGAACATGGAAATCCAGGACACAAAAGGCTCCCCTGTATTTGATGGCAGCCATTTTCTCTCATATCGCCCCAGGCGGCAAACAGTGTTACTACGCAGCCGCGAAGTATACAAACATACACTTGGAGAGTTTCTCTTTCCATCGGTACCAATTTTGTGCATCTGAATTTCATTAAATGTGAGTAACATGTGTTTCAAAAAAGAAGTGTAACAGAGAAGAGGGACTTCACACATAATAGAACACTAATCACAGCAGACATGTTAAACCTTAATAAAATAATCTTCGCTTTTCTCTTCACACCATTCTACCACTTAGCTATCAAAGATAATGCAGAAGCCTGAATAGTGCTGAATAATATGTGGATTTAGGAACTGACGGATGCATTGGAGATTATGATGCAAGGATAACTGGCTCCATTATTAACATGACTTACAAAATTGTGACTGTATATTTAAACATTTATTGAACTGATAAAATCCTTTAATAAACTAAATGAATAAACAACTCTAGTATCACTTCTAGCAAGGCACATATTACCCATTTATAACTCACCTTCTCTTCATATTCGTAGTAGATGCATGATATGGAATGACTGACTTTCAATTCATTTCACACGTGCTGCATTCAAATTTACACGTGCATTCAAATTATTCTGAAGTAGGAAACTGTTTAAATAATGCTTCCTTGAGCAACTTCAGTGTTGTACAGTTCAAAACTTGAGGTTATCTGCTGTCTCAATTCACATTACACTGGAAGACAGATAATGACAAAATACAAGATAAGCAGTTGATCAGTTAGGTTCACCCAAAAATAGCAAAGCCAAAATAATATTCACAATACAATTATAAATGTTAAATTCATGTTTATTATCATTCAATTCGGAACCTTTTGTTGTTGCTTTAACGATTCTTTTGTTTACGGAAATTACAAGTGATCTCTTTGCTTGTGTTATTTGTACCAAGGAAAATTTATAAAAAGTAAACTGTTACCATAATGATAATTACTGTAACTGATAAACATCTGGGAAAGAGAGAATGAATAGTTTAAAAAATGATTAGAAAACTGACAACTTACCTTCATTCTGAGTCAGTCAATCATGGTGTCTGAACATGGCCTTCTGGTGCTCATGTGCCATCGATACAGCACTACCAGTTACCTGATTGCGGGCATGCATCTCACGTGCAACTCCATACACGTAGCTGATGTCAGGTCGCCTAGCTGGCTCAGCATTTATACAAGCACCCACCAGGTCTCGTAACTGTAGAGAAAAGTCAGAAATCATATCAACCAGCAGTGTCCTGAATTATGTGATACCTGAGGGAAGATCTCTAGCATCTACAGCATAGGAAGCTAGGTGGGCTTCAGAGCCAGCATGGACATGGTGACAAAGAGAAAAGTCTGTCTGCCAACGTTAAATGCTAGTTCCCTAGGCAGTCACTATACTGAATCTGCTATCCAATCTTTATTAGTCACAGACAGTTACATGTTTGTCTCTGTGACTGACAGAAGGTAAATAAATGTCAAATTACAAGGGCTTCAGAAATTGTGACAAACCGAAAATTTAGTCACAAATCTAAAGCCTTAAAAGTACTCAACTGTGACCACAGGTAAGTACTGTAACTTTCACTGCCAACTTATAACACTGATTTAAACAAAGTGAACAGAAGGATTTTTGTATCTTAAACGATACAGCAACTTTAAATTAAAAAAATAGCAGAACCTAATTTTATTAAATATATATATAAAATATATAGTGAGTGGTTTACAGCCCTTTGGCCTTTTCCCACATCCTAGTCACATAGGATTTTTTGCCTTTCTGAGAAGCAGGTGGCAAGCCTGCTGCCTCCATATAATTTCTACTCAATCCTGATTTGTCTGCTAGAGCAATCTAGTAGTAAATCAGATGAGACAAGAAGTAAAGCCAGCGGTCCCATGTCGTAGATTTACGGCATATAACAGAACATCACGAGCATGAAAGAAATGCTTCAAAACCAAAATTCAGCGGCCAATGTTTCTAACCCACGTCTCTTCTGATTTTATTAATAAACTTTTATAAAATAAAATTTTATTTACAAAAACATTCTTAAACTACAGATATGAAAATAATATAAAGACAAATATTGACAGTAGCATGCTGCAAAGAAATAATACTTATTGTTGCCTCCATTCCCCTTTATATCTGCATGGTTTTCCTTTACCTTTGTGGAGAACTGGTGGCAGCTTCTGTTCCCAATGAACATAATAAACTAAAATAAAAACTATTACTTAAAATGAAGTACATGTTTATAGCATTCAATACCAGATATAGTTAGTTGCTCATAAAGCTTTGCATCCTACAGTAAAATGCAGCCTATGATCTATAAATATAAAAGATAATGGGAAAGTTCATTTTGGGTGAGCAAGCAAAACCGCACGGAAGGCCTGCAATCACTGCCAGTGCAAGTGAACTCTGAATTGGCTAGTCAGTTAATTTCAGTTCATGTTTGTTTCTCTAACTCCCTACCCACTTGAGAAGCAACATTCAACAATCAACATCATTTCAGAATGTTGATGATTGTAACAGTGAATAATCTGTTTTTAAAAGGTTATATATATATTAATTTGTCTGATTTGATTCTAGGGGTGCGTCTTATGCAAGGGAATGTTTTATACACCAGAAAATATGGTAGTTAACACAGAAAGATTTTAGTTACAAAATAGAAACATATGTTACCATGAGATCCATTAGAGAACCACCTACCTCTTGTGAGTAGATATCAGCTGGGAGAGGCGGATAGTCACATTGCTCTATCTTCATGCAGAGAGTGTACAGATTCATCTTCTCCCCATAGAATGGCGACTGTAGAGCAGCCATCTGTCACAAATAAAATGAAATACTCATAAACTATGATCAATAAAACACATCAATATCAATGCATATGTGGGGGGATAAGAACAGCAAGTAAATGCAAAGAAAATGTAAGTATACATTCATGTCTCTTCACCAGAAAGCAAAGCAGTATCAAAGATGTTAACAAATGTGATTACATTTTCTTGGGGAATCAGCTGTGTCAATTCATAGTAAAGATTGTCATTTCAGAGACTGCCTCCAAAACACTGTAAACTTTTGCTCTGAATTGGAATGGTTAATCATTTCAGATGATTTAATCACAAGTGAGGAAAGACAGGATGAAGATACAAAAGAAGTACTTATGGAAGGGCAGAAATTAAAAGAGAAGGCTTTATGACAGGACAGGTTGACCCATGCTGAGACAAATGTCAATAGATGATGAAGAGAATGACCACTCAAAATAAGGCTAAGATGTCAGAACAGTCTAATCCATGGAGAGGAGAAGTGGCAGAAATGAACAACATATTTAACTTCATAAAGTGCAACTTGTGCCTACCTCATAAAGCAGGCAGCCAAGTGACCATATGTCACTTTTAAAGTTGTAACCATGCTCATGTATTCGCTCTGGACTCATATAGTAAGGCGTACCAACTAAAGAATGCGCTGCTGTTGTCTTTGAGCTGAAAAACCGTCCAAGTCCAAGATCACCCAGCTTCACAACCCCCTGAGCAGTGATGAACACATTTGCTGGCTTTATATCTGCAACAACATATCACTTCAGTGCTTCCCTTGTAACATAAAGATTCCTGATCTCAGTTTGCTGAAGTAGTTTACAAACTTCAGAAAGAGACCCCAAGTACACAGCCTAAGGCCATCCTGAGACCTTTTACAGTTTATATTCTTACTTGGTTAATTACAGTTGAAGAATACAGTTTTACATTTACTTCAGTATGATTACCAAAGTGATTTGTAAGATTTCTGACAAACGTACAAAAGTGTCAAAGAGTAAATTGATTTCTGGATTATTTAATGGTGTGCTGTTAACTGCAGAGGTTATTTTATATGAAACAATACTGAAAATAATAATGAATGAAGAGTAGATTAGGATATGAAAGGAGGTGGTCATAGTCTCTTTGAAGGTGCCACCTCAGTATTCACTAAACCCCATCATGACTGATGCTTGATGTTCAAACTGAGCACATGTCTGGAGTATTACTGCACACCATTAGTATTCATAAGTAGTCCACTATAAATCTTGGTGGGAAAACCTGCTCTCCTAAGTTGTGATCGCTTTCCTTATTCCCTTCAGGAAATCTATAGTGAAACTTCATTAAATATGTCATAACATATTTGTCCTGCACCTTTACCAACTGCTTATTCATCATCCTGTTCCTTCTCAATGATGTTGTATAAAGTAAAGCTGTCCCCACTAAATGCCATGAGGGCGCTTGGGGCAAAAGACACATAGCTTCTACTCATTCTTGATCTCAGCACTAGATGGGGGTGAGCGGTCAGCATCACAGCCCAGCCACACTTTACCCATGGGGAAAGGACCCCTAGAACCCACTAGATAGGAGAGTGGGTGGGTCCCAAAGGCAATCTAGATGTAGAGCCTCTAGAAAAATCCTTTTGCACCTACTGAAGATCAAACCACAGTTATCTAGTTCATATTTTAACACTTTACTGACAAAGCTATCTGGCTCATAGCATTATATAACTTTCACAAGTAAAGAAACAAACCAGTAAACAAGCCATTGCTGGTGGTGGTAATAGTCTGTATCAGCTTACCTCGATGCATTATTCTCTTGGAATGCATATGCTCCAAAGCACTACATAGCTGCACAAAGTACTTCCATATTGTCCGTTCTGGGATGAGTCTCCGCTGCTTGCGGAAGTGTTTGATCATACGAGACAGGTCTCCAGCATCTGCTAACTCCAATACAATATTCAGTTCATTGTCTTCAATGAATGATGAGATATATCTTATTATATTTGGGTGGTTCAGTTGCTAAGGAATAAGAAAATATGAACATATCAACAACACAAGAAAGAAATGCATATAATACAAGTAAATCCTTGAACATAATACAAATAAACATGTAAGAAATTACATCATAAGAAAGAAATGTACACAATACCAGGAAATTAAATAATCCTTAATGTCCATATGTCTTTCATGAACAGAACTAATTTATTTCAGAACTTTGAATAGCCTCAGATTTAAAATAAAAATGAAAAACAGTATGTAGCATGTTTATGACATGCTTTACCAGGGATCCCATCAGACCAATCTTTCAACATTTTCCCAATTTCCTTTACATTGTTCTACAGATTATGTTACTGATGACATACATTTTTCTTTATTATTCCTGTATTTACCTCAAGAACACAACACAACACATTAATCTCTTATGAATCCTCCTTATGACTCAAGTATTGCTCCCATATCATAAATGCTTTATAAATTCAGCTCTTCACTATAAATGGTTTGAAAATGTGATTTATGAAACAAATGCTTTTGAAAAAACTGACTGATTTCACACAGATCATTTTTCTAATGCTGTTTCAAGAAATAATCACTGTTTATACTTAGAATCATATGAACTACATAAAAAATGCATGTTGATTGTTAAAGCAGATGGGGCATGTAGTTACCATTAGACAGATAGGAAATCCAATGGACCAATTAAAAGATTACATATTAGTTATGTAACACACTGCTTCACCAACAGCAAAACTCTGACACGTGATAAAAATGCAATGTCATCAAACTTTAATTGGAATGTAAATGAACAACAAAAAGAAACCCTGCAATAAAGTTCACAACCAAGCAGAAAGTTATCTTGAAATCAGTCTGCATAAAACTTCTAAATGTAAAATAAGCAAGTCATAACATAAACTAATCCAAAATTTGAAAATTTATCAAACTGCAATAACAAGTAAAACAAAGCTTCATAATGACATTAGTCACTTGCCTTACTAATTTCCAAATTTGTAGCCAAAAGAAAACATTGTTTTAATTCATTTTTGTGGCGTGTGAACATAAAGTAATGTAGGTGAGCCATTTTTCAACAAACTTTATAACAAAAAAGAATTTTCTTCATGTAAACAGCTTCATTATTATCAAAAGCCATTTCAGACTGGTTAAATGTTTTGTGTTATGTGATATACCTGAAATTTTCACTTCCATCCACCGTCAAGCTTGCTGTATTTTAAAGAAAACCTGTCTGAATCTGAGTCTGTTTTATACTTTTAAGAGTCACTGTAAGACTCATCAACAGAAATGTCTTCCACTTCACCACTATAACTGTCAGAGTTGCTTTTGTGTTCCACAATCGAAACAATAACTTGAAAATAATGATGATAAGCCAATACTATATAACTCATACCTGATTACTTGCAAACATGAAGGTATGAAGACAAGCATTATGACAAAGATAAAACAAATCTACCAGAGGTAGTATCTGTCAATGAATTACTGAATACGAGTTCCATCTGGTGAGAAACTCAAATTTTTTGCTAGGAATAAAAGAAATTCCAACTGCTGTGAGATAAAATTGGTTAATAAATTTAGAGTAAAAATTTTAATCAGAGTCAGTTCAGGAAAATAAGGGAAGGGGTTATCATATGAATATAGGAAACTTTTATTACTTTACACTTAAAAAACATGGCCATATAATTTCTTTCAAAAAAAAACACACACACACACACAAAGAATGATTACTGGTATTTTGTATATTGTTTCTTTGAAGGATTATCTACATAGCAAATTATCTGAAGATGACAAACTTCTAAGGAAAACATCTGGCCCTAAAAGAGCCAAAATATAAAATATAACTTATTGTTTTATACGATTTCATTCCGGTCTAACTAACTACATGGCTTACAGAACCTCAAGGTTCATCACCGAATTAACCAATGCCCTCCACCGCACCCTGTACTGGGACAACAAAATCCAGTCTCCTTTATCTCTTACCTCCCATAGATCCCGCCTGAGATTATCCTTCCATCTGCATCAATGTTCCCCAGCGGTCTTTTCCCCCAAGGTTTCCCAACCAATACCCGGTGCATACCTCTTGCCCCATCTATGCGTGCCACATGCCCTGCCCATCTAACTCTTGACCATTACAGTCTTCTTGAGATAATTAAATAAATAAATTACAACTGACAGGACATGTTCCTCCAATACGGGAAAAGACCTACCTGCAGTAAGTTGATTTCTTTCATGCAATCAAGACGTGCTTTGGCATCCATCATTTCAAATATCTGCACCTTCTTAAGCGCAACAACTGCGCCATCCGCTCGGCAACGAGCACGATATACTACACTGAACTGACCCTTGCCAATTTTCTTCTCCACATCAAAGATGGTCAATGACTGATATACAGATGCACCCAAGTTGGCTGTCAAGGCCAAGATTTCTGCTTCACTCATGTTACACAGTCTGTAAAAGAAGAGTATGGAAGTCTAAGATGTATGAAGCACATTTTTAAGGGTATCAAACTTTACTATTAACCTGATCTGCTTGTGGTGCATCCTAGTTCCTATATCAGGATGGTCCAAGACAGCATCCTAAAACTATATGCTCTAGTATTAACATGTCCTAATGTATGTAATTTGTTTTTTTCTTTGTGGGTTGTTTATTGTTTAATTCCGCATTTAAAAGTGTAAAGCTACCATTAAATAACAATGAGAACAGCCTTATATTATAATTCATGTTTACTTATTTAAAAATGAAACAATATGCCAGAAATAGAATGCCCCAGCACTCTTATTTTTAAGATTATACCCCTGGTTAAAATCCACCATTGGACACAACCCTGAGCCAGTTTTATTCATCTTCAAAATCCACTCCTTGATACACATCTTCATGTCCTCCTGCTTCCTTCTCAGGCTTCAAAATGGTCACTTTCTGAGAAGTTCCCCCACCAACAAAATTCTACATGTATTTCCCCCATATCCTTTGTAACCTTTTTGGTTTCACTATCATAACAATACTTGGTGACCTGAATAAATCACAAACTCCCTTTCCATGTAACATTTTCCATTTTCCCACTATCATCTCATCAATATATTTTCTATCACATTTTATGTTCTTCTCTCAAAGTAAGAGCCCAAAATGACCAAACTGAAGCATGCAGTTATTTCAGAAATGCAAAGTAATGGCACAAGTTCAAAGAGGAAGTAATCATGAAGTAGGGAGTAATGATTATGCTCTTTCTCTGTTTGAACTTCCTGGTTCTTCTATGCCAGACCTGTCAAGGCCAGGTTTAGCCTCATATTCCAGTGTTTCAATGCTCCTTAAAACATTTCTACCTAATAAAAACATTCTGACTTAAAAACATTTTACTCTTATTATCCAGTTACTAAATCCAGATTTTCTTTCTTGTCAGCAAACATATCAATGGCCAACATATTATTTATTTCTGGATTAGCTAACAAAGCTCTTCAATTGCTAAGATTATACAGTGTCTAATTTTGAAACAAAAAGTGAATACAGAATTACAAAGATGTGGGAAAAAGTGGTTATGGCTCAATTTAAGGTACCACCCTGGCATTTACCTGAACAACTGGGGGCAATCTGTATATAGACTGAGATTTGTATGAGACCTTCTAAACATGGTGTGCTAACCACTTCATGATATTTGATGCCAGTACATAGTCATTTATCAAAACCTGCTAAAGGCCAGAATCATAAACTCGTTCAATCCTGTTTATATCCTAACAACTTACATCATAGTATACTTAAACCAAAATCCGGATCTGACCCGATGAATAAGATGCTTTCTTTCAGATCCTACTGAGATTCAAAGCTTTTCAAATTTTGTTAATTCCATCTTAAATAACACTTTATTTTCAGTTGCAATTATATTTATAATCTTTCGCCAATCGAACATCACTGGATAATTTACATAAGCCTACACTTTCCGTGCTTCTGACATTCACATTCGTATACGAATATCAAATGTCAGAAGCACGTGACGATAAATAACCATTCAAATGAAATAAAATTGTTTCCCTCAGTAAGATATCTACACACAAGGCTGTGTTCTCTTTACATGAAAATATGGAATTTAAAACAAAATATTTAATTATTACAAACATGACACATTCCTACATAACCAAATGCACATGACAAATCCTATTATTTCAAATTATAGAGCTAAAAAGCATACCAGTACTCCGCAGAACCGTTATGACTGTCAACCGTGCGTGATCAATATCATCACAAGGAAAGGCACATTCCAGGGAGGTGCAACAACTATAAATACAAATCAATAATTTCACATAGCTAACGCTCTTTACCGACACCCAGTCTACCATCATTTTCAAACAAAGTCCCACACCCAATGCCGAAATGACTGCCTAGCACGTGGCACTACGGAAGTATGGTCAGCATTCCATTACCAATGGAAATTTCCGTACGTTAAACCAAGAAGCTGACTGTAACAAACCAGTGGGAGGGTAACCTGCTTGTAGAATATTAAATTTAGTCTCATGGTATCCAAATATAATTTCTAAAAGCGAATCTGTAGTGAATGAAATGGTCTTTTAGAGTAGAGATGAAAGCATAAAGTCTGGAATAAGTCATTAGAAAAGAGACTGAAACAGCAGAGAATACTAAATTTTCCCTTTGGGGGGGGGGGGCATTGAAGCAGAGGCCATTTTATTTATGGCAGAAGCACACTTTCATGTTGTCAGGGTCTATGGTTCATGGATGCCAAATTAAAATAATAAACTTCAATTTTTGGGATCGGAATGGTCTTTTTATGACTTATTTATTCACTGTTTTTGGAAGTTTTTTCAATAGCTTGCACAATACAAAAAACATATTTGCAAAAATCTAGCTTTCAAAACAAATTCGCATTCAAGCATGACAGTGAACGCTGTCATGTATTTTGTAAGCAGATTCATGAAGTTACTCTGTATCTGTCTGTATAGGTCTTGTTGAAAGCTGTCACATAATACATCTGTGCTGTAGATAACGTGTAACAGCATTCCATTTACTCAATAAAATATTCTCGGCAATTAACAGCGTTAAATGGTTACACGAAGAGACAAACGTTTCGGGAATCATGACATCAGAACTCTGATCATAGGGACAGATATGGTTCTCGAAACGTTGAACTCTTCGTGTAACTATTTGACGCGGCTGATTGCCATATATTTTATTGAGACAAGTTACCTTGAAAGTTTCAAATCATATACCACTCTACTTAGCTCATAACCAACTTCAGTTCAAAGTTCTTCACAACATGTATGCAATTGGACAACCCTTCACTTTAGAAGCCATGCATTTTACCAGTTTTTAAATATTAGGTGTACATAATAGCTTGAAACATATTAGGGCAGCAGTGTAGTTACATCATTATTATGGCACTCTTTGACATTGTCTTACCTGGCCTCCCAGATTTCAGGATGCTTTAAGCAAATTGCCTTCCATAGCTTTGCCATTAATTACACATCTTTTCATTCATCAAAGCACCCTTTTTACTTGTTACTAAGCACAAGACGTATCCTAGGTTAAATATAGGTTTTGAAGAAAAATTAATTGTGGAAGTTGAAACAAACAAATTCCTTGGCTTACAAGTCGACAATACCTTAAATTGGAAGAAACACATTGAGCATATTGTTCCCAAATTAAGGTCTGCATGCTTTGCCATGAGAACAGTCGTACCACTCATGACAATAGATACTTTAAAGCTAGTTTACTTTGCTTACTTTCACTCTGTAGTGTCATATGGATTAATCTTTTGGGGAAATTCAACAGACAGTAATAAAGTTTTTTTACATGCAAAAGAAAATAATTAGAATAATGGCCGGTGTCAAAAGCAGGGTTTCTTGTAGAAAATTATTTCGTAAATTTAATATACTTCCACTTGCAAGTGAATTTATACTCTGCTTGCTATCATTTGTGGTGGAAAACATGGTTAAATTTAAAAGAAATACAGATGTACATAATTTAAATACAAGACATAAACATGATCTCTATGTGCCAAATGCTAACTTTACTAAATATCAGAAAGGAGTGTACTATACAGGTATCAAGTTATTTAATCTTTCACCAACAATTAAAAGTCTAAATTATGATATAAAGATATTCAAGCCTGCATTGAAAGATTACCTCTTTACTCACTCCTTCTATTCTGTATATGATTTCATCTCTGCTGAAAATGTTTAAGCTTTATATCAATAATCTACGTATATGTAAAGCAAGTTTTGTATTTATATTTAAAATTCTGAGGTTTATGCATATTAATTTGTAAAATTATTTTTCATACTTGAATTGCAGAATCTGAAATTTATGTACATTGATATGTGAAATACATTCTTGTACTTGTGTTGAAAGTTCTGAAGTGTATGTATATTGTATGAAATGACATGTTCTACATCCTTTGGTTGAGTCCTAAGAAGGATCTATGAAATGTAAATAAACTCTACTCTACTCTACTCTACTCTGCATTCTGCATCATTTCAAAGGATTACTTATTTTTGGTTTTGCCATTGTTCATTGCTGAAGTACATCCTGTTGCATGTTATATCTGCACAAGAGAAATGTCCTTCAACAATGACGGGATTATGTAAGTGTACATAAACATGTTTATTGAAAATCAAACAAAGCAGCATATAAAAATTAAAATCATTACTTATCCTTGCTTAATTAAAGATCATAACATGATTTAATGTAGTACATGTACATAGTAGGCCATGGATGAACAGTCTTTTGTTTCAGTATACTATTTCAACAATGCAGCATAAACAAAGTAATTATTTCATTTCCATAGTTGTGTGTGAGCTTGTTTATTGTTCTGACTGATCTCAGTTTGATGTAGAATCATTCTTTACCAACAAGAACTTTTACAGTGACATAAAAGTACAAAAGAATTTTGAATACGTGATAATTATTGAACTTGGTCACCATGAAGAAAGTTTTTATATTAATGTTTCTTGGATCTTTTGCATGTATGCAACAGTATGTTGAATCACGACCCCTTAATGTCCAACACAATCCAGAAGAAAATGAGTAAGTATAGTAATTTGAAATAAAAACATCAAAGTCTTGTTAAATATTAAAATATTTCATATTCAGTTGTTTCACACACAACCACCATACAAATATTATAAATGGAATGTTTATGGAATGGACCAAGGAACCAATTATAAATAATTTGTAAGTAATTAAATTAAAACCATGTGGTAAGAACAGAGACAATTCATAAAGTCTGTGATACTGTTGTATTTTATTCTTAGAACAAAGTATTAAATACCTAAGAATGTATGCCTTAAATACAATTCATTTCAGCCTGACCACAATAATATGCTTACACTATATTTTGGTTCAGAACAGTCATCTAAATATCATACTTGATTTATATTAAGTTTCTGCAGAGGTGTTATTGTAATTATAACATTTTCTTCACTACAGGCTCAAATGTATTTTTGATTTCATTTTTGTTTAAAAAGAAGCACAGATCTCATTGGTGTTATACATCTAATAAAATATTAATAGATATATTACTTTTCCTTATATCTGTGTTTATTACGTTCACATAATCAGTTTGTATAACCACTGAATTAATTCTTTAAAACCCAGTGGAAACTACATGTGCCACCTACTTTAAATGTGCATTTTTTTATTTGAGTCTTGTATGACTGTGTATAAGCAGCATTAACCAGTTGATTTTTGTAAAAATAAAATAGTGTTTTCTTTTTGGTAGACTGAATTCTTAAACATTATTTAAACAAGCTTCAGCTTCAAAGTACCAATGGAGGTGCAAAATGGAAATAATGCATTTTAAAAATTTGAAATATATACCTACACTCACTGGATGTGGTATGAGAAAACATTTGGAGCCAAAGAAAATTTTTTTGGATTGATCAATGTTTTGCATTAACATAATGTACAATCCAAGGCTATACAGTGAAACCTCTATCCATCGTTCCCGGAACTATCGTTTTCCCGGATGCATCGTCCGTTTTGTTCGGTCCCGAATACATCCCATATAAAATAATGTTACATTTTCCCGCTTCTATCGTTCCTCGAACTATCGTTTTATCGCATCGATCGTTCAAAAATCGTAGTCCCGGCCCACAATTTTCCCGCAATGATCGTTCCTGAGAATTTAAAATGCTGGGTTTAGAGATAAATTAATACCGAAAGACGCACAATGTTTTTGGAATAAACAGTAGCGGTAACCTGTTATGTCGCCCAACCAGCACATTCTTTTGGAATGAGGGTCAGCGGTGCAGGGGTGATAGTTGGAGTGAATGGCGGTGCCCATTGTCAGAAATTTTACGATTTTAATGTTCGGCAGTAATAGTATTTCCATTCTTCCTGTTATTGTTCGCGAAGCGGGGGGGAGCGGTGAGGAAGACGACGAATGCGAGCCCGAAGCTTTGCCGAGTTTTGCCGAAGTACACGCTGCATTGGTGAAAGTGAAGTCGTTCTTTTATGCGCTTAATATTAGTGAACGTGACGAAGAAAACATTTTGAACGTGGAAAGTGCTCTGTTTGGTCTAAAACGTAAAGTTTCAACAAACCAGTTGTCCATTAAAGACTTTTTTGGTAAAAAGAAGTAACTTTGAAAGAGAAACATTGTTTTTTTTTAAATGTTTAATGCTTTCCCGCATCTATCGTTTTCCCGCATTCATCGTTTTTATTTCCCACCCCCGCCGAAAACGATGCATCGAGGTTTCACTGTAAATAAAAATATATAGCATATGTAGACAATTAGAAGTAACTTTTCACATTCTTGTTTTCAGAGTAAATAAACTTACCGACTACAAATATATTTCTAATCAACAACGTGCCTCTTTAAAGTCAATACTTGGATTTGAAGAGTATCTTGCAGATAGAATGATGAGAGAAAGTGTGTGGAGATCACAAAAGAAATATCCCAAAATTAAACATTTTCCAAATACTCAGATATCTGAAAGAAGCAAACCTGATGACACCATATATGTGCATAATGATAAAAATGAACAGAACTCTTTTTCTCATGAAGACACACCCCAATCAGATGATCTCAGGAATTATACTACTCATAGCGAACATGAAGAAATTCTGGGACATAATGATAATACTGAAGGCAATTAATCATCCAGATAATGGGGTAAAAGGAATTCTGAATCAAGTATCATCCCCAATAGTGATCAAAGATGACACAAGAATTAACAAACATGGCCATAACTTTCATTCTTCTGAAAGTGAAAATGATAAACTAAGAAGAATCACAAACCTGATAGATGCACACACTGAAGCTTTAAAAGATAACATAAAAAGAGAGCTTGGCATGGAGAAATTTATAAAAGATATTAACAGCAAAGCATATGATAATGATGTGCATCACACTAATCAAGATCTACAAAATTTAGGACATCTACATGAAGAATCATCTTCTCATGATTATGGTGAAGGGCAAAGCAAAGCTTCAGTAAGTATAAACAATTCAGTAGCATCTCTAATTAATAACACTGTACACAAAAATAGAAACCTGTAAACTGCCTACTGAGATGAAGGAAACTCACAAACTGTACTAAATCATGCAAAATGAATATGTTTTCATTATCACAGCAGTGTGTTCAATAGGCAGACAATTTTCTAGGCTTCTCTCAAAATCATAATCTCTAGATGTTATTCTACCTCTTCACCTCATGAGTTTTTTTGTTTTGTTAGCCATTACTTCCACATATTTCTCTAGCCTTTTATGTTATCCCAATAATGTTGTTTTTCCTGAGCATGTGGCAAAGTTCAGATATATGAGAAGGTTCATAACAAATCAAAATTACATTAATGAAGAAATGAGCAGAATGAATTTGCTACCATGCAGCTTAGAATCTTTTTACTTCCAGTATATTACCTAAAAATGCAAATAAAGATAAATGACACAAAACTATAATTTTACCTACTGTCTTGTACAGGAGTGAAACTTGGTCTCCTACATAAAGGGGAGGGGGACATAGATTGAGAATATTACAAAACAGGGTGTAGTGGAAAATATTTGGAACTAGGAGAGAACAGGAAATTGGAGAAAACTACAAAATGAGGAGCTCTGTAATTTGTACTCTTACCAAATTAAATTGGGGTTAGCAAATGACAGACTATGAGCTCCATGGGGCATGAAGTCAAACAGTAGGGGAAGGTAAAAGAAAAAACACACACAAAAAACATTAATCTGAAAACCTGAAGGAAATTAACCACACGAGACCTAGATGGGAGGATAATATTAATATGGTTCTTAAAGAACAGGATGTGAGATTGTAGACTAAACTGAAATGGGTTGAGACAAGGTCAAATGGCAGGCTCTTGTAAACACAGCAACAAACCTTCAGGTTCTATAAAAGGCAAGGAATATGACTAGTTACACAACTGTTAGCTTTTGAAGGATTCTGCTCCATGGAGTTACCATAAACCATTCTTACATGGTTTTTATAGTGTATACATTTTGCACATTTTATTGATATCTGCAGTCCATGGTGAATTTAAAAACATTTTATTTAAAACTGCTTCACTTAGGCCTATATTTCTGGTAATTTTTCAATATTCAACACTGAATATCATCTTTATTTTTATTCTGTTCATAGGACAACACAGAAACCAAGAGATGCAACTGCATAAATGGAAATGATAAACTAAAACATCCATCACGTACCGTCAGAATAGAGTTACCAGAGGACTGGATACCATCATTTCTTAAAAAGAATGAGACTGAGCCTGATGATGTACACAAGTATGATGGTGTGTTTGGTGGTTTAACTCATTCAAATTACAATGAAGACGTACCACGAATAAAGCGTGTGTAGTGAAAATGAACTCAAGAAAATTTTCAGACAAATGATAACAGGTCTATCTGTTCATGAAGTCCATGGCAAGGAAACAATTGTAATAAAGAAATTTAAGATTATATGTGAATAAAACTGTAAATAGTATTACTGTCTATACGTTTTTATTGAATTTTATGTCCAAATGAGTGGGATTCAATTTCACAATGTGTTCAAGCAGCACAAGACTGTATGCACCCTAGAAAATGTGGCTACTGCAACTGGAATAGATATAATTCAGAATCCCTAGTTTCATGATGGCAAATCTATATTATATGAACAAGAGATGGGGAAAGAATGAGTAAATTTTAAGGCCTACCTTAGTAAGAATATATTTGAAAAGACTTTCTTATTCAAATATCCCATATTTAGGTGGGTCCATCAACAAGGCACAGTGCATCCTCAGGATGTGAACAGAGGAACTGCCTCAAGTTGTGGAGGTTAGCTATGAATATATTGAATAAGCAGTCGCGGACAGCCGATAAGGGGTAGTCCTCCAGTTTGGGGGTTGGGCATAGGGCTAACCCCCCTCACATTTCATGCAAGAACAAGAGCTAGCCAATAAGGATAGGATAGAGTTGAAGATGGACCACATTGAAGAAGCCATTAAATCAACTAAATTAATCACCAGGACCTGGTAGAACCCATCCAGTATTAAGAAGGTAAGGACCACGTATAGAAATATTAAAAAAAATCTGTATGAAACATGTCTTAAAGGTGAAGATATCCCGACAGAACGGAGGATCTCACACACACAACCCCATCCACAAAAAAGGACCCGGAAGACTTCTGGGGGATAGCAGTTATACCTACAGCAGCCTGAATATACTCACAAATTCAGAGAAATATTAAAAACAAACAATCACACGGACAAGCAGAACTCGGAGCGGGCCAATCCATTATCAATAACCAAAAAATAGCTCTCGAGAAACATGTGCAGAGAAAAACACATATAGCAATTATCGATCTGAAAAAAGTGTACGATTGCGTCCCGATAATACAGCTATGGAAATAAATGCAACAAATGGACATAAGAGTCACTCTAATATACGTTACTATAAAGATAACTCCACAAAAATAAAATTCTTATAACACTTACAAGGCCATTTTACACAACGAAAGGCCTTAGGCAAGGCTACTCTTTTTCACCCACTCTATTTAAAACATATTTAGAGGGCACTACAAGGGTAGACACAGAAATGCAGCGGATGATCAAGCTGTGATCGCAGATGATTATGATTTGGGCTATACGAGTCAAAAAATTAAGGAAAAATACGAAAGAACAGGGCTAAATATGAACAAGTGCGAATATCTTATACGAATAAGTCAATGTAACAACTTGCCTTTGGACAATGGAATGATATAAGGTGTTGAAAAATGCTTATATCTAGTGGCGACTTTTAATAATCATAAAATATTAGTGACAAGAAACAGGAAAGAAATATTAAATACAGGAAACCTATTGGAATGAGAAACTCGCTCCTTAGGGAAAAGGGCATAAAAAATGAAACAAAGAATTTATGTAAAAGCATAGTTCAAAGAGCAATGATTCATGGTGCAGAAATCTTAGTAACTGAAATGAGTTATAAATCTAGACGTGAGATTTAGAAATGAAGAGAGAAAAGAAATTAAGGGCATGGAGCAGAACATACCTGACAAAATTAAAAAAGAAAACAATTGGTATGGTTTGGGAACACAAAGCGGATGGCCAAGAAAATACGTAAGTGTGTACAGCCGGAGCAAAGGCGGCCTAGTAGTACGAGAGACGAGCCAATTTAACATCTAAAGACAGCGATGTAGAAACTAGTCATGAGTCAAGTAAAAATTTCGAATAGGTTTGCAATCCTAGAAAACGTTGAAAAGAACACGGAAGTGGATGTCAATAAGGCCTCAGAAAATATACGGGATAACAAGGCCAGCTGTAGTGTAGGAAACCAAAAAATTGTGAAATAATGCATAATCTGACGAAGAATGCTCCATCTTCATAATACGGATGAAGCTGATTAGATTACAATAGCTGCAGGTCCGTACTCGAACAAACAGGGAAATGCATGTCAGTGTAAGGTGCGAAACCAGCAGAACTTTGATGAATAAAAAGGAGGAGCATATCAAAGACCAGACAGGGGAAACAAACACACCCGGGACACATTTGATTAAGGATGAAAATGAGGATTTTCTAGCGGACTCACACAGTAACATAGACAGATGTTAAGATTACTATAGTAAGTTACTAAATGTTCACATAGCTGATCAATTTAATGAGCCTGGAGTACATACAGGAGAGCCCCTCATCCCAGTCCCAAGCCTTACCCAAGTTGAAATTACCATTGGAAAATTAAAAGGTTTATAAATCTCCAAGCATCGGCTCAATTCAGAGCATCTAATCCACGCAGGTGGTAGGGCACTGCACCTAGAAATACACAAACTAATAGTCTCGATTTGGAACCAGTAAGTACTACCACAGCAGTGGAAAGAATAAATTGTCTCTATCCATAAAACTGACGAGGTATCTCTTTGTCGTCATACAAAATTTTATCCAGCATTCTTCTGGTATGGTTAATGATGGCGACAATCAGTGTGGATTCCACCGTAAAAGGTCAACTACTGATCAGATCTTTTGCATTCGACAAATACTAGAGAAAAAGTTGGTGTATAACGGATCAGTACACAAACTATTTGTGGACTTTAGAAAGGCATATGACTCCGCTAGAAGTGAGGTACTGTATGGCATTTTGAACTTGGAATACCAAATAAATTTGTTAGGTTAATCAAGATGTGATGGTTGGGTTATCTAGTAGAGATCGTAAAGGTAAACTTGTTGGATACATTCCCAGTGCACAATGGCCTAAGACAGGGAGATACTTTATCCCCAATGCTTTTTTTAAATTTTGCCTTAACACACTGCATCAGGAAGGGCTCGAACTGAATGGTCTGTACCAGGTACTTGCCTATTCTGATGATGTCAATCTGTTGGGGGATGGTGTGGGTACCATAACCAAGAATGCAGAAACTCTCCTACAGGCTAACAAGGAAATAGGCCTAGAAGTAAATGTAGACAAAAGTAAATACATGGGCATAATACAGGATCAACATCAGCAACAACGGCGGAACGTAAGTATAAGTAACACATCATTTGAAATAGTTTCAAAATATAAGTATCTGGGAACAATAACAAATAAAAATGAGGTCTATGATGAAATTACAGTAAAATACATTCAGAAAACGCTTGTTTTTATTCAGTTCAAAAGCTGTTATCATTCTGTTTGCTAACCATAACACTAAAGATCAGAATATATATATATAGTATGGTTGTTAAACATGGTCTCTTACCTTGAAGCAAGAACACAGTTTACAAGTGTTTGAAAACGGTGCTCAGGAGGATATTTGGACCTGGGAGGGATGGAATAAGTGGGGAATTTAGAATGCATGAGGAGAAGCTGCGTGAATTTTACAGGTCACCTAGCATAGTGAGGATAGTGAAATCTATGAAACTCCAATGGGCTGGACAAGTGGCACTCATGGGGGAAGAAAGGGGTGCATACAAAGTTTTGGTGGGAGACCCTTCTGGAAAACGACCACTAGGCAGACCAAGATGGAGATGGGAGGATAATATCAGGATGGATCTTAGGGAGGTGGACTGAGGATGGTAAATGGATGGAGTTGGCTCAGGATCGTGCAAGGTGGCGGGCCTCGGTGTTGGACCTGCAGGTTCTGCTACCAGGGAGGAAGTTAGTTAGTTAGTTAGTTACTATTCCAATAACATTTACACACTCAATAGTACACATATTACATAACAAAGCACCTCTCTGTTTGCCTATCTTCCTATGTAACAGAGGACATGTACAGTTTGGTAAGCTACAAACTTCTTAAACACTACAATAAAAATGACTTTACACTTCTGCTATCACTTCAGTTATCATTTACGAATGACTTTATGAAATTCAGAACTTTAATTTATGAACTCTGTTATTGCTTCATCTGGCATGAAGTTAATATGCCGACAGTATTTAAAACATGTGAAAACAATAAACACATACCCATGTGATACCAAATATCTACAGACACTCATAAAATACACCAACAGCGATGTCCATTCTTACAAATAAAGTTTGTTGCTCGCTTTCGAACTGCATAAGCTATCAGATCTCATTAAAGACAATACTTTTTCCTTTCTCATACACTGTATACTAAATAACAAAATAATACAGGTAATTTAGTGATTACACTAGCAAGATTTTGGGATATACTTTAGGGAAGTGCTGATACATCACATTCCAACATACTGAAAAACTGGTAACATTTTTTTTTTTTTTGGGGGGGGGGAGAGAGAGAGAGAAATCCAGGTCACTGTGGAATCCAATTTGTAGTCTGTTTCAAATAAAGCTGATCAATATATCCTCTTATCAGCAAGGTGTTTAAAAGCCAAAATGTTGCATGCTTCCATCACCAAGTTGTATTCTCACGGACATCTTCACGCAACTATCAGGGTTACCATTCTGCAGCTACGAATACTGTTGCTTGGTATTTAATGAGAAGATCACATTGCAAGTCTGTGTATGAACATATAAAGGACACTGTTACTGTTTACATTAATAAGATGTTAAAAGCATATAGAAAATTTCAAGTGCTGTCTCTTTCCGGCCCTTTCTTTTTCATCATACATACATATTTATTTCATTATTTCCTCCCTAGTAACAAATCACTTAAGTGACAATTTCAGATACTGTAACAGCATTCCAGTCTACTATTATGCCTCTACACACACTTTATGAAATCATTTTTGGTCTATTCACAGTATAATGAATAAATAATATCAGACTGCATTTATTAAATTTGATACTTATTTTATTACATATTCATATATATCTGTGCAGCTTTTGAATAAGCAACTGTTGTTCATAATGGAGGTTTTTGGGAACAGGGCTACAGACACCCTGGATGTCAGCTGTCCTTTAAGACATCCTTGAGGATACTGCTGCTGTTCCGGCTCAATGGAAATTGGGTGAATGTTGGAAGATGTACTTCAGACAACAAGAGAGGTGACCGACGCTGTGAACTACCAGCAGAACTCAAAGGGGAATCCTGTGACAAACAAAAGTGGAATTTCACTTCAATGCACTGTACTAAATTTTGTGTAAGGTTGACACTTTTTGAGAAATCCAAAAGTTACATTTCGGCTTCATGCACAGCACGACTATAAATGACCAGTACCCAATAAAACCCCACTTGCTTGACACATTTTAGTGTTGATCCACAATACCAAATTTCATCAAAATTTACTACATTGGTTTGGAGACGAACTAAGTAGATGGACAACTGTGCACTCTGTTCAAAAATCACAGTCAACCCTCAATAACATGAACAATGACCTTCTGGAAAATCTATTGATATTCAGATCACACAAAACATACTAAATGAAGGAAAAACGGACTATAACATTTTGTTTATAGTTCACAAAATCCAAACAAACAAAATTACTAAGAGTCTAGACAAATGGTGGGTCAGAGGTGAGGATGAAGGTTAGAAATTGAGATCAAATCTATTAATTTTAATTTTGACAACCATAATTTCTTCCTTACACTTGACTGCTGGAGATGGCCTGCCACTGCAGATTCTATCTTCCTTACAATTTATGACATACTTGATCATTACTAAAGCAGCCTAATTAAGTTAACACCATGAAGCAGAGAGCATGTTGAGAAGCCAACATTTGCTAAGCCAATAAACAAATTCTCTACCTTTTTATGGACTCTTGAAGATGCAATACTGTCTTCACAAGAGCCAGAATAATCAAGTCCAATAAATTTTAATATTATCCTCCCACACATGCCTGGGTCTCTCAAATGGTCTCCCCCTTCAGATTTTCCAATAAAAATTTCATATACATTTCTAATCTTCCCCATGCACACTGTATGACTCATCCATCTCATTGTCATTTATTTGTGCACTGTAACAATATTTGCTGAAGAGAAAAACATAAAACTGGCTGCTGAAATAAAGGGATCTTTAGTGCATTCTATAAATAGGAGCTACAGGAAAGGTGGATGTAAAAGCAAAAGGTTGAGTGATGAGAGATAAGGTAATTAAAAATAGTACCAGTATTAAGGGCACTGCAAAAGTTGAAAACTCATGTAAATGCACAGGCAGTAGAATGTAGCAGACAAAACATATATTGCTGATGTAGATTGTAATGTTATTTAGACTTGTAAGTAGACATCAGCATTTCAGAGGAATATACAACCTCTATTTTTTGGGCAGAAGATGGGATGTTGGTATCTGCTTACAAATCTGCATAGCATCACATTACAACCCAGAAGATCAACACTGAAATCTTCAATGCCATGAGAACCTCACATCACAAAACATATACTCACTGATCTGCTATTAACCTGGGCTACTTCTTGCACTTCTGGTAATAGGCGCAGTTGTGGCTGAGGCCGTGATTCATTCTCAAGAAATCGTACAAAAGCTTCTGACAAAGACTGCAAAAGAACAGTTCATGCTTACAAATTAACAATTTCATGAAGATGGAAGGACTTCTACACTTCACCAATTTTAATGGTATCACTGGGGTAATTTATTTGGAAGTTTCAGAAGATAGCTACGTCTGCCTACATCTGTGTGTATAAATATAAATATAAATAAAGGAATTTACTCTGTAAGGTCTGTCAAATCAAACCTATTCCTAGCATTAGGCACTGAAGGCAATAGAAATTATTATATTAATAAAACAGGGCAGAACTTTCAACACCAGAGGTAGGTAAAGAGCAAAACATTAACAATAAACCATAAAATGTTGAAGCTGTATGAAATGGAAAAATTAACAGAAAAACACATTTCAGGAAATAATATCAAAACAGAATATAAAAAGAAAGGAGAATAAACATTCTTCATTAACTACACTGTTTGTTGTCCAAGTTCACACTAAGCACCTACTCCTGGTGATTGTTTCTGAAAGTAACTGACTTCCTTAATAATGGCAGGAGACACAGGGTTGGTGGTGCTTTCATCACTAGAATAGTACAGAGAGACAAACCTTTGGTAACACAAAGACAGATATGTGCTCTTTCAACAGTCTAAATCACTCTTCCTCACAAGAGCCTAAAACATTAACTACAATAACTTTGTTATGTACCTGCATGTTGGTGGGGCCTTTACCCGGGTGTAGGAGACTCTTGAACCAGCCAGACGGTG